TACCCACTGTATATATACACACACACACACACACACACAGAAAAACAAGTAGATATAATAGAACAAATAGAAAGCTAGTGTTTGTTTTTTTTTTTATAAAAAAGAAGATAAATAGATAAAGTACAATTAAAATAGAATAGAAAGTGCTAGAGTTAGAGGGTCAAATTTAATAAAAAAGAAGATAAATAGATAAAGTACAATTAAAATAGAATAGAAAGTGTTAGAGGGTCAAATAAAGATGGAACAGATGTGTTTTTAGTCGTTTCTTGAAGATGGCTAAGGACTCAGCTGCTCGGATTGAGTTGGGCATTAACACTGAGTTAATGTCAATTAAATAAAACAAATTAAATAAGATAAAAGAATAAGAATATCCATTCAATTTTGACTTCTTTTTTTTTTTTGCACATTTTACTGAAAATCAATTTATTTCTATGGGTCATTCTGTAAACTTTGCAAAAATTAAATAAGATAAAAGAATAAGAATAAGAATATCCATTCAATTTTGACTTCTTTTTTTTTTTTGCACATTTTACTGAAAATCAATTTATTTCTATGGGTCATTCTGTAAACTTTGCATGAGTGAGTAACAGTAAACAAAGGTGATGGAGTTTGAATAAGGCTCAATATACTGACATAAACATCAGAGGAACAGGTGCATGGGGACAATGTCATCTACCAATCATTCACATTCAAACAGAGCCTTCATTCAGTCAGCATTATTACAAATACATAGCATCAAATCCACAGACACATTGCCTAGAGGAAGAATATTCCATATCAAATTAGACAATCTGAGGCTTTGTGAGGCTCTGCAAAAATATGGGGTGCATAATATAAGTATATGAAGTGTTATACGATCACGAAATTTGAATTTGCACCATGGGAAGGGTTTAAACCCTACTGCATTTGCACACCTTGGGGACGTCTTGGGCTCTAATATTCTTTTCTAGTCTCTTTGCTGAAGCATCATATATTAAGGGGACAAGCTCATTACATCTGAAGCTGTTCAAACGATAAAATTAGCAGTGGACTAATCAGAGTGTAGTTGAGGTAATGCAAGAGCCTGAAACTGCCTTTTCAACCATTTAATCCACCATATTTCAAAACCAAATCAGCACAAGTCAGAGGTCCCTTATTAAATCTATTAATGATGAGGGTAATTAATTCTTAACGGGCTGGATAATGGTTCTAATGGGTGGAGAATGAGGCCCAATAATGCCAGAGCACTTTCACTGAGAAAGTTATAAAAGCACATTCTTTTAAGTGGTATGACAAAAGTCCTGATTGCTGCCATATTGAATGAAACCGAGGCTGTGAGAGATAGACAGTCTGTTCAATGGGTCGCAGTGTCTTTCTGGGTTGTAGCCATTCAGTGGATGTTTCACCTGGGAATGGAAGCGATTTGTACCTACAGATTTGTGCTGCCTTTGTACCGACCAACACCAGCAGATGCTGACAGGGGTAACACACTGATCAGACAAACGTGTCTATTGCTGTTTGTTGGCATCTGTCAGTGCAGTGTGAATTGGCCTTTAAAGGGACAACTCTGTACCTTATCTACCCCTAAAAAAACACACACATTACTACCTTAGAGTAGTACCCTTAAGGTACTACAGTAAACCTTGTAAATAAGGTGCAAAGTTGTGTCTCTGAGGGTACTGATCCAGTGATTGTATATTTTAGTTAGTAATGTTTTACAATAGTCATATAACTTTTGCAAATTTTTTCACGGAGATATTTTTGATGTCCCACTCTTTACATTTTTTTGTAAAAAATTATATTACACATTGTGTATGTGTAGTCACTTTTAGCGTGTGATCTGTTTGTAGTATTGATCTTTGTAGCAACAAGAGTCTGAGGGATGAATGAGAAGAGCCAATCAACAGAAGCCGCCTGAGAAAGCAAACAGCCCACAAGGATTACACAATCAATACGAACAACCAGACAACCTGAGCTGAGGATATAAACATGCACACCATCACAGCCACTTCCTGTATCTATTTGTCATCCCGCCCAGTTCTGCTTATGCTTATGAGTCACAATAATGCATAATCTTGTATTCACTCACTCTAGTAGGTACAAAGGACAAAAGCCTCATTACCCTCAAATCACAAGTGGGAGAGAGCGAGCTTTAGTCAGTTACACAAGTCAAATGAATTGCCTCCAGTCGCCATCCAGTAAAGCACAGGCATTCAGGACGTTAATAACATTATCGTTGATATGAGCGCGCTCACTCAACACTTCAGCCCCGCGGACGACTTCTGTCCTGATGGAAGAAAGGAGGAGAAAAAAAGAGAGGTGGATGATTGTTAATCAACATAGAGAGAGAGTGTGTGTAATTGGGCTAAACCAAATTGCGGTGTCACCAATTAGCTGGAGGAGTGGGTGAAAGGCTTAAGCGCTCTTTAATTGTTACTGTTTTTCTTGCTCACTTAGTGAAGCTCCAAGAAAGCAGAGATGGCAAAAAAATATATAAAAATCACTCTTCAAAGAAAGCATATTCAAAAGGACTTTTCGAAGCTAATGAGGGACTACATCGTAACACCAATCTTTTCAAAATACAGACTTTGTTCTAAGTACACATCAGTTTCCATTGTTTATTATTTTAATGGGCTTTATATTTTTGAATACTTTTTCTGCCTAAGCTGTGCAATGTATCTCTTTGTTTAGAAAGACAAAAATATTTGAATGGATTGAAATACATAAAAAAAAAACCTCTGGGATGAGCATGACAGACAGCACAGTTTACAGTCTGATTAAAAAGCTCATCAACTTTATCAAAGCCAGATGAATCAGAAAGAGATAAATATCCATCTAGTTGCTTGAGGCTTGCAGCCCACAGTCTCTTAGGAGGGTGTTTTGAAATTTTAGGAAGATTTTGAGAATCACACTTCTAATTAAGATTACGTTAAGAGCTGGAGGTAATATGCTAATCAAATGCATTAATCAGATGGTGAAAAAAGGAAAATCTCACTGGTTAACTTTAATATCATAATTTTATTCTTTCACTAAGATATACTGTAATGCCGTCTTTCATTAAACTGCTGCAGTAATGGCGTATTTTTGTAGGCCAACAGGGAAGTCAGCAACACCCAATGGCACAAAAAGCCAGTAGTTTTCCTATTGGCTTTTGGAAACAAAAAATTATGAATTTTACATATTTTGTTTATCATGATAATCGTCACATATGAACACAACTTTTATTAATTTTGAAGCCTAAATACAATTGCCAGAAGTAAAAAGATAAAAGCTAAAGTTATAAAGGCTAAACAAAGTACACCAGAATTTGAGAAATCTATTCTAACAGAGTGTGAGTATGAACACAATAAGACTGTAAAAGCAAACTAGTGAATCTTTTTGCTCTGTGTGATGATGTTGACAATGTCTTTGACAATCTCTGTAGTCCCATTTAGCCACTTGTTAACAACTGACTTTTTGTAAGACACTCAAATGCTTAAATAAATGAGTGGGGTATTACATATGTATTTTACATACTAGAATATAATATGAAAATATCTTGAGCTTGTGCTCACCACTGACCTTTTTTCAGGAATTTAACCAAAAACCCAGTAAAAAAAAAACAACAAAAAAAACATTGACTTTGGGAAAATGACAATAAAGTT